GACAGACCAATGGGTTTTACTGTAAATACAGTATGTTTATTAATGTGGTTTTAGATCCCACATTACAAGTAATCTTTAGGAAACAACCATTTATCGAGCTCAGTGTGGCGTCAAAGAGGGCTATTTGCAAAGAAGAGTTTAACGTGTATCTCCCTTTTCCAAACTTGTCTCTCTGAGGCTGGCATTTCTTCATAATGCTTCAGCCAAAACACTGTATCACAACAGGTCAAATACAGAAGCAGATAGGATAGCCCAGCTGTTTTCGGTTAAGCCAAATATTACAGAGATTTCAAACATATAAAATAATGCCACCCTTCTCATAAAACTTTGGGGAAATACAAGGTTTTTCCATTAAAAAATCTTTTTCATGTTAACTTATATGGGTTTATTAGCTTTAATGAATTAATAACTATTTTTAAAACTTCTCAGTATTAAACCAAGAGGGCCCTAGACCAAGGTGGGCTGGCAGTAGGGGTTCACAGGGAGCCCCCTTCCAAAGAGCCACCTCCGTCCTGTTTGCAGTGTGAGCCCAAGAGCGCGTCTGTCAGCAGGAGGGTGTCCGCTGCTGTCCCTCTTTGCTTGAGCTGTCCCGTCTTGTGAGTGATAGCTTCAGAACGGCCGCTCTGCTGAGTTGACCAGGGGAGCCTGTTTTTTCAGCGCAAGCTCTTGTTTAAGAGGGTAACTTAGAATACAGACGCTGAGAGGTCTCCACTTCTGACATTTGTGCTACTAATTAGTTTGCTCTGTGTTACATTCCACCTTCTGTGTTTCACTTTGGGGAAAAATGTAAGTGTGAATGCATTGTTACGTATCCCGACTGCTGCGTCGGCATTCAGAAGCAGGCACGCAGTGTTGGTGTCTGCCTTGGGCGCTGCCCGGGCACCAGTGCCACCTTTGAGACCCTGCGATGTTGCGTTCGCTCTGACAGCGCTGTGAAACAGGTCTGCCCAAAGGAGGCCTGGGCGAAAACAAAACCTTCAAAACAATGGTTTTACCTCCAAGTATCAGTTCCCTCGCAGCTGTGAGAGGGATCACCTGCACCCACTGAGCCCCTGCTGTGTCCCAGCGCTGTGTGAGGCCCCCGGAGGTGCTGCCCCCTCCGTGAGCACCCGGCCAGCCCGGCCCGTGGAGGGCCCGCACCGAGCTGGGACCCGGCCAGGCTGGGGTTGCAGCCCGACCGGCCACAGGCTCCTGCTTTCCCCGCAGGCACCCCAGGCCTCTCTTGTGCCTTAACTTCCCAACAAATATAACGTATGAGCAAAATCATTGGAACTGGTTGGAATAACAGACCTAGCATTTTCTCTTAAATCATACTGGTATTTAACTCTTTTTCTCGGATGACATGTTTACAGAGACAGTTGCCCCTGTGGCTCACCCTCCCTGTGAAAACTGCTGATGTTCTTTGAATTCAAGGGTGACCTGCCCACCTCTGATTCCCTCTGACCCCCAGGACCAGTGCCCTGTGGGCTGCAGCTGAGGGGTCATTTGAGCCTCGTTCTGTTACCTGAGGTGAGCCGTCAGGTGCCTGAGGCTAATGCGGGGCTTGGTAATGACACTTTTCTTATTCTGTGTTCTCACCCTGTTCAGCGGGCGCGGAGGTGCTGTGATTCCTTCTTCCCAGACACCCGTGGTGCACCACATAGCGTCAGTTACTCGTGTTTACTGGTAGATTTGTTTCCAGCAAGAGGTCAGTTAACTTGTTACACTTTCACGTATAGGTTTGGGATCAGGTGAAATTATGCACGTGTGAACTTTGCTTATTAACGGATATTCTGTTGTGAAAGAGTCCCCAGGTCCTGCCAGGGTTCCCTTCTTCATCGTTCTCAGTCAGCCCCCTTCTTGGCATCCTTTCTGCTTCTGTTCGGTTCAAAACCCAACGCACTCCTACCTGGGTGACCGTGGCACGGGGGTCCCTGCCTCCGGGCCCTGGGGAGCCAGGGCGAACACCCAAAAGCACAGTGTGACCGTTCACGTCACTGCCCGGCTCACAGCCAACCCACGGGTGGCCTCCTCAGCCGGCAGGTCCGGCATTCCCATCCCTTGGTGCCTGCCCGTGTCACCCGGCCACCCGCTCGCTGTACCTGACCCTGTCTGCCGCGTGTGTCCCCACGCCACCCTGACCCTGTTGCATCCTCCTCCCCCCCCCGCCCACAACCCAGCTGACTGCCCTTCTGTCCACCAGCAGCACAGGGGTCCCCGGAGCGCACCGCCCCGTGTGTGGTGAAACGTGGCTGTTCACGCGCCGGGTGCAGGGCGTCCGACCTTCGGGCTGCGCTCGGCCCAGGACGGCCATGAATGCCGCCTGACACAAAACCATGAATTTACTTAAAACCTTTTTTTTTCTCATTGGTTTTTGTTAGTATTTGCGTATTTGGTGTGTGGCCCAGAGACGCCAAGAGGCTGGGCACCCCTGCCAGTGGAGCTTTCCCTGGAAATGCCCCCACAGAGCAGGCGGGGCGTCTGCCCTGGCCGGCCCGCCGCACCGCAGCCCGGTCACTGCCAACGTCTGTGGCTCCGCAGCAGCACGGAAGGGCTGCCTCGCTGCTGTTCAGATTCAGGTGCTCCGCCTGACACTCCCTGTGTCCCCTCAGTGACGTGGCCACTTCCACCGGGAAGGACAGATAAGCCAGAGGCTGCGACTCTCTCTCGTTCCTGCCCACCTCTCTTCTCCCAGGGGGCTCCGGGGTGGGCCCTGGGGACAGGCAAGGGGCGCACACAGACCCTCGCACGGCAGAACACAGAAGGTGGCGTGTTTGGGGCCCCCAGCCTACATATGCAGACTTCTGGGAGACTTGACTCAGGGTGATTCCCGGTTGCTCACGTGACTGTCGTGCGGACCACGGGCCTCCCCGACTGCGGGCCCACTCCGTGCAGACGTGTCGAGGCCCCTTCTGAGGCTCCCAGGCCCGGGCGGACAAGCTGCACACCACACACACCACGCGCAGGCTGAGCTCTGACCGCAGAGCCCAGGAAAGGATTTTAATGGAGTTTCGGTTGTTCAGGCGAAACATGCTCGAGCGTCTGGAGGTTTCGGTTTGTCAGTGACGAGTGGGAGCAGGTGGCAGAGACAATCCAGGAGATCACTTATCAGAGTGGTCAGTGAACCCCGAAGCTCCCGGTCCACAGGCCTCCCCGAGACCTTCTGGTCCTCCTTAGCCCCAGGCCCCGGAGTCTGTGTCTGTCACGGCCAGGTGTCCGCAGTCAGGCCTCCTCGAGGGGTGTCTCCATTTGTCCTTCACGGCCCCGCGACCTTCACGGATGGCTCTGCCTGCTCACAGCGTGGCCGGCAGAGCCGCCCGCACGGTCCTGCCTCGCATGGAGTCTCCAGGGCTCCTGTGCCGAGAGACGCCCTGCGAAGGGAGGGGGCCGCACACGCACACGCACACGCACACGCGTGCAGATGCATCTGTGTGGGAGGCCCGCTGTCCTGTCAGAAATGAGCAGTTTGTGTGCTAACACAGCCACTCGAGTCCGGCTGAGAATTCTGACAGTTTAGTGCCACAATTTAGAACCAGATAAGACTTGTCAAGCGACTGAAAGTGAGGTCTTTCAGAAATTATTAGCTAATTTTTTCAATATGGAATTTATAGTCACAATTAGCATATCATAATGATGTTTCCAGGATAAAATCCCAGCAGCTCAACTTTTCTGGCCACAGACGTACAACATATATCAGTTTATTTTCAGAGATCTGAAGAATTACCTACTGTAAATAAAGTTCCCGGGAAGATTTCTCCGGGAAGGAGGTGAACTTACAGTAATGTGGGTGATATGTTATTAATTAACGGCCGCGACCAGCCGCCGCTTCCGATGGAAGGCCGAGGGTGCGGAGGCCTCACAGGAAGGACGTGCTGAGCGTTAATCTTACGAGCGCTGGGGTCTGGTCCTTCCCGGGCCTCTGCCGGGGAGATGTTTTCAAACAGCCTACGGGGGGAAAGGGCTCTCTCCCTAAGAACGAGGGGCCACAGGGGTCTCCCAGAGCCCAAGGACAGCATGTGCTCACGGGACAGGGCAGCTCACGCTGGACCTCGCGGGCTGGTGTCTCTGCCACAGTGCAGAGGAGGGATCCGATTGGCGGTCCGGCCCCACGGACAGGCACGGGGAGCACAGGTGTAGCTGCAGGCACCTGCAATGTTGCTGTGAAGACTCTCTCAAGGAGGGGTCAGTTGAGCCAAGTTTCTTGGGATCTTGGGATCGGCAGGGTTTTTCCCCACAGGTCGGTGAGAGAGGAGGCACGCCCACCAGGTGGGGGGCGGGGTGCAGTGCCCAGGCCTGGCTGTGGCGTGTGAGGGCAGAGGAGTGCAAGGAGGCTAGACCAGGACGCAGTCGCAAAAAGACGATGTGGTTTCTCCAGCAGTGATAGGAGGGGGTGTGAGGATTGGGATCTTCGAGAGTTCAGAGGTTCTGACCCGCTGATGTGGGTCTGCTTGGTGAGGTGCCAGCTTTTCGTGGCAGTCTTCAAAGCAGCCCTCCCCCGCACCCCCCGGGCCCTCCACCCCCAATCTTTCCCTCCTTCCCTGGTAGAGGGACCAGAGGCCTGGGGAGCAGCTTCCTCGCTGGCCAGGGCTCCCCCTCCCAGCAGGAGCCGGGGCCAAGGAGGGGGCTCATAGCGTTACTGTGTGCCTTTCTCCCCTCTGTTTCTCATGTATTCGGCCTCAAGCACAGTTATTTTTGGAGTAATAATTTGGAATTAATTCACCTTCTACCTCAAAAATACCACCTTTCGCATGTAATTATTGTGAGCACGAGGTGTTCCTCAAAGCCTTCCCAGCGTGATGGTGCCCTGGACACACTCCAGAGTAAAATGGGACCTCACTGGCCATTTGGCCAGATTTGCTTTTAGCTGTCCGTCTTCTCCCCGGCCGGAGATGAGAAAAATGAACTCCCCTGCAGGTAGTCGCCACACAGCCTCCACGTGCTCTCGCTCGCGTTGGAACGCTAGGAGAATCGGGGGGCCTTCCGCACAGGCACCCTCAACCCTGCCTTTCCTCTCTCTCCAGGTCACGCCATATTTAAACTCACATATCTAAGCAATCACGACTACAAACACCTCTACTTTGAATCTGACTCTGCGACCGTCAATGAAATCATGCTCAAGGTGAGTGTCCTTCTCTGCCCGGCACAGGGGTGAGCAGGGTGGGCGTCTGCGGGCCTGGGCCCCCCACGCTGATGAGGCTCTCGGCCGGCCGGCTCCACAGAGGAGGAACCCAGACGGTGAGTGCTGTGCCCTGGCCCACGCCTGGGTCAGCCGTCCTGTACCTGCTTCAGCCCAAGCAGGACCCCCTTCCACTTCCTCCTAGCCCCCCAGGAATCCTGATTCTTTGTGTATTCATTATCCTTTTAGGCATCATTTTCTTTCCTTCCATCCATTGTCAGGAGCCCCCTGAGGCTCCTGAAACAGACTCTGAGGAAGTTGTTGTTGTTTGAATACACCTTCGACTGCCTGAGATAATTTGAGCAGCCTGTTCTAAACACCCACCTTGGTGGTGCTAGAGCTGTAGTTACCTCAACAGAGTTCACGGAGCACCTTCGTGAGCCAGGCCCCGTCCTGCCCCCAGAGCTCCTCCTCTGTCAGAGGACACAGACACTAAACATTAAAACCAAAAGCAGCCTATGAAGGGGCAGAGAGGCGGGGCCCAGCGCTGTGCAGTGGTGGGGGAGGGTGGGGGTAGGGAGGCGGGCCGCAGCAGGCCCTGGGGCTAGAGCAGAGCAAGGCTGGAGGGGCCAGGCTCCCCACCCCAGTCTTGCCAAGTGGGGGGGACTGGGAGGAGCTCCCCGGGGTCTTGCTGGTTTGGCAGGGCCCAGGATGTGCACCTCTGAGATGCGCCCAGGATACGCCCAGGCTGAGGTCTGCGCCCCGTGCTTTGATGGCCCTGGAATAGTGGTTTCAAACTTCCAAACCGAGAATCCTTTCTTTACACTGATTCCTATGTAGATGATCAGATAGAAAAAAACAGCTGCTTTGGCAGAGCAGGTCTTAGAGCCAGAGGGGCTCTGAGTTGCATGGTGCTGGCTGGGCACGTGACCTCTCAGGGCCTCAGTTTCTCGGCCTGTGAAATGGGGGTCATGGCAGCCCACTGCCCCCACCACCGCAGGCCTGTTGGAACACGAATCAAATGAGGCGCAGTAACCCCACTTAGGTGGTTATTCCCTCTCTCCTTGAGCGTGGAAGCCACTGAGTAATAGTAACAGACGGTGGCAAGGCCACGCCAAGGGCTGCACGGTACAGGGCCTGGGCGGAGCAGGCCCTTCGCATGCCCCGTGTCGTGGAATCTCCCCAGCTCCGAGGTGCCGGGTCGTAGAGTTGTTCCCGTTTCCTGTGAAAACTGGGGCTCAGGGAAGAAACGTCCCCAGGACCGTGACTGCCAGAGCCAGAACTCGCGCCCGGCCGGATTCAGCTGGTCCCGGCACGTGTGCTCCTGGCCCCTCGAGGGTGTGGCCTTCAGGAGCTGAGTGGGGGATTCCGACAGAATGGAAGTGTCTTAACAGGAACGTTTTGAGGTCAAGTCCTCGTGGCTGTGAAATACTTCCCGAGTAGCAGGTGAGAACTGAAAAGACAGTGCGCCGGGAGGGCAGTCCGGAGCCGAGACCCGGGAGCAGGGAAGGGGTGGCTGGGCGCGGGTTCGCAGACCACCAGGGGCTGCGGGCCCACCGCCCCCCGCCCGGAGCGCTCAGACCCAGCAAGCGAAGGGTTACATGTGAAACCGTCACCAGGCGGCACAGGGAACTTGAGCGGCGTGCTCGGGGAGCAGGTACAGAAATATTCCATCACCCCGTCAGGGGCTGGGCTCTTTTTTATAGCCAGCATTAAAATATTCAAGACCTGAGAAGGATTCTAGTAAAATTATAATCCTGTGTTTGACATCAAAATAATTTTCACAACAGCAGATTGATGACAGAAACACAGGTTTATGACTTCAGTATGAGACTGTGGAAGAGCAAGTGCAGAGAAATCATTTTGCGGGACCAAATGCTCCCCCGAAGCAGATGCCTTCCTGCCAAGTCCCCGAGGCCCGCCGCCGCCGCCCCTGAAATGTCTGTTTTCATGTCAGAATGTTTGTAGAAATACTGCGTCGTGCACGAGACTCCGGGAGGGAGAGGCACAGCGTGCGCAGGCCAGATTTAGTCAGAGAGCTGACGGCCGTGGTCCTGATGGAAGATTGAATTCCACTCCTCCCACCTCTGAGTTTTACAGCAATTTGAATACTTGGCGTTATCTGCCATTCCCACGGTGTCTCTGAGCTCCACACTGATACCGAGTGACCTCGGCCCCTGCCCGTGTCCGGGAATTTGGCAGAAGTGTTTCCACCAGGGGCTCGTCAGGGGTCAGTCTTAGACTCAAGTCGTGCAGCCTCCCTTCCCGCCCCTCGATGGGATTGCACGGAGCTCTGTGTGGTCCCTAGGTCTGCAGGCTCAGAGAGGAATCTCAGAGGAATCGTTGGTCTCTTCAAATCGGGTTCTTCTCGTGATCGAGTGATGGAAACTGTGGCTTTATTGGCCATGAAAACTCCCTATATTTTTATGCCTCGAGCTGTAAAACGCATTGGAAGTGAGACACTCTGTAGTGCATAAAATTGTGCAAGTTTTAAGCCACAGCATATTAACCAGCTAATGGCAGACCAAAGGGCGTTTTTATCTTTTGATTATTACATTAATCTTCCATTAAAATTATCTATGTGATTATCACAAAGCACTGAAGATAATAAATTTAGGAAATAGTTGGCTTGTTAAGGAACGTTTTTAAATCCTTTTGTCAAGTTACGTGTGCCAAAAATAAACTGAAAACACTGGGTTGGCCGAACGTGCAAACAATATAATCCAGAGATCGCTCTCATTAGGAATGATGAAACCTCTTATTTTCCTACACCGTCTGCAGGGCCCCGAGTCGTCAGCCCGGCCCCGCGGCCCTCATGATTTATTGCTCTCAGCTGGTAACGTGGCGAGGCAGTGGGCCAAGCGTGTCCGGCCTTCTGTACGCACACACCAGCCTTTCGTGCCTGCTGGCGACTGTCAGAGCAGAAAGTTTGCAGGGGACAACACAGCGTCGGAGCCTCGGCCCCCGTCGGGCGCGTCCCGCCCTGCCGGCCCCGAGCACCGGCAGGTTCTTCCCCAGAGTCAGCGGGGCCTCCCCGTTCTGGGGCAGGGCATGTGGCCCGAAGAGGAGAGTCAGCAGAGAGAGTGGCTGGTTTCTCTGGCCAGAAGTGTTCAAGTTTCTAGCCATAACTCCGTGTATTGGAGAGTGAAGAGAAATGGTGTTTGCTCACCAAGGAGGAAAAAAGGGGCGCCCAGAGAAGCTGGGGGCAGCAGGCAGCCGCTGTGTGAGGAGGTGGGGCCTGGAGAACTGGGAGGTCTGTGGGTCACACCCGACCCCTGACCCCTCGGCCCGGTCCTGGCCCAGCCAGGCACTAGCTGTGGGAGCTTGAGTAGGTGGTGTTGCCATTCTGCGGTTTTCATTCCCACAACGTCCTCGTCTTTCCAGTGAGGAAGGTGGGGCTCAGGGAGACAGCTCGTGGGAGCAGAGCACAGGCTGTGCGCTCTGAAAAGCTGCCCCACTGTCCAGCAGGCACAGCCCAGCACCTGTGCTCTCCCAGCCTCTGGCCCCGTCCCAGAGTAGCCCCGGCCGGCCAGGCTGCAGTGACCACTGGACTCCAGGCACGGGCCCTGCTGCGCCCAGCCCGGGTCCCCTGTGGTCGCCGAGCAGAGAGTGGCTGCTGGCAAGTGACCTGGCTGTGTCCTCTTGCTTTCTAGGTCAACTACATCCTGGAATCACGAGCGAGCACTGCCCGGGCTGACTATTTTGCTCAAAAACAAAGAAAACTGAACAGACGCACAAGCTTCAGCTTCCAGAAGGAGAAGAAATCAGGGCAGCAGTGACGCTGGCCGCCAGCCTCGCTCTGCTGCCGTAGCTCCGAGCCTGCCTGCCAGGGCCGGGGCGCCTCGGGTCCCCACCCTCCGGCCAGGTCCTCGTGGGGAGGCCAGCGGTGGCCGTCCGGAGCAGTGCCCAGGGCCAGGCGACCCGGAGGAGCCTCCCGCTTCCTAGCCGATCGCAGCCGGGGTGTACATAGCCACGCCCAGACATTTCCTTGCAACTTGATCAAATTTCTTAAAACAAACGAAGAACAAAAATGTACATTTCTTTTTTTCCTTTTAATAAACAGGTGTACTCTTTATCACGGTTGGTGTGACGGACCGTTCTTTGGGGCAGAGGATTGATTATGTTGCTCACTTTAAAATCCGTTCCCACACTGAACAGGCAGACTAGGAAAGCTTTGGCCCGGTTTCTCAGAAGAGATGTTTAGGGCGTATGTTTAACGGTGCCGTTTGTGTAAGTGAGCACAACGCTTTGGGGCGGGCGGCACCTCACTGAGGTTAGGACGCAGGTCCCAGGCGGGGCGGTTCCCCGCAGCGGCCTCCCCCGGCCCTCCCAGCACCTCTCATTGGGGAGCCGCCGGCTGCACGGACAGCATGGGGCACAGGGAGGAGCGGGGCGGCGGCTGGGCTTCCGGTCATGCCCAGCCCCCGTCTGGGAATGGTCTCTTCCGTTCATGACCATTCACAAACGGAGGACACTGACCATTCAGTGGTCCTCCACTTCGGAGGTCCGTCGCAAGCGTCCACTTCATCTGGCAGTGAGCCCTGCGTGCGGGTTCTTCTGCGTGCTTCTCCACCCTGCCGACTTGGAAGGGGGGCCTCTGTTGCTTTTCTCCGTCGCTGCCGCGCGGAGCCAGCCTCGCTGTCCGGCGGCTGGAAGCTGCTGCTTCCCACCGTGTCCGGGAGAGCGGTGCGCAGACTCCCTGGGGCACCGGGAGACCGCGTCCACAGTGGGAAGGCGAGGACGCGTCCTCCGACACCACCCCTCCGGCCACACCGGTGGCCCCTGCTGTTGCCCCTGCAGTCCTCACCGGCCTCCAGGGTCCCTCCCGGGGTGACGTCCTTTCGCACTGTCCCCGGCCAGGGTCGGGGGTCAGACACTTCACGGAGGACCTGCATTTCCAGCAGTTTTTTAAGTGGTTGCAGAGGAAGAGATGTGATGAAAACAGCATCTCACAGTCGAGCGTATTTCTTCGCACGGGGTCATTCGAACCCGTTCCTTTCTCCTTCTGATCTCCGTCCGGTCGGCAGCAGCACCCTTTCCCGGTGTCTTCCATCCCCACCCACCCAGAAACAGCAAAAGGAATATTATTTGTATGTAGCCTTGATCTCTGTTTTTTGAATTTTTAGCAGTTTTATACTTAGATACCTTTGAAAAATGTAAATGACTAATTTGGTCATGAAGCCTGTGGTATATTCAGCACTAAAATAAAAGGCATATAAGTACCATCTTTCGTGTAGTGCTCTGAATTCTTGAAGTCCCGAGCATGTCACCCTGAAGACAGCAGCTCTTTGGTGAGCTGCTCTGGGTGGCCGTGGCCGTGGCCGTGGTGCCGGACGGCCGTGAGACGCCCCGGGGCCTCCCTAACCCGAGCCAGCCAGGACGGCCCCCTTCACTCCGCAGACATCGGCTCCTCCAGTGACGGAACCCACACCCGCCCCGCAGGGTGTCCCGGCACACACCCAGTTCACGCAAGACATGTGTCTGCTGAAGGAACGACGCATGGATAACGCTGCGTGACTGCCGCCACCCAGGTCCACCAGGCGTCCAGGCTGCTTGGGGCCCCTCTCCTCGGCCCTCCCTCACTCCCCGCAGCTGGACTTCAGGACAAGACCGTGAGCTCCTCAAGGACATGCTTTTCACAGGAGCAGGAGGTCAGCACCCCGGGTTACCCTGAGGCGAGTCCACAGGCCCCACTTCCCCTTTCCAGCAGCTTCTCCCGACCTGGCTCTGGTGTGACCCCTGACCCGAGGGGATGATAACTCGCAACCAGGACTTAGCCAAGCGTGGGTGGCTGGCAGGCCTGGGCAGGGGTCCCTGGAGCCCTGGATTCAGCCAGTCACTGGCATTGCCCCCACAGCTGTGTGCCCGACCTTTATATATAGGCCTGAGCCCCTGGGACCCCGCAGCCAACCTCTCACAGGGCCTGTCGTCACCTCCGAGGCAGAGGTGAGGGCTCGGGGCCTGGCAGGGCCTCACCTTTGGCCCAGGACACACTGTGGCCCCGGCCCCACGGCCAGGCCCTCAGCCACTGGGCGCTGCCTCCACAGCTAGTGTCACTGTGGCCCTGAGCCTGGCACTGCCTCCTTGGGGCCTCCGCGTCCCCACCTGTAAACGGAGGTGCTGGAGTAGGCGGCCTCTGCAGGCCTTTCCAGAGAACATCTTAAATGTCTCCAAGTCCCAGCGAGCCCACCTTCCTTCCCTGGGTTTCAGTTTGCCAGGCCTGCGGGGGCTTCTCTGCCCCTGACTGAGAAATCTCAGAGCGGAGAAATCCAGAGTGGGGCAAACGCAGGTTTACAGTTGTTCGTATGGCAAGTAACACAATAGTAAATAACAATACACGAACACACGCACTCTGACCGGTGTGGGTCATTGGGTCGGGCACCGTCCTGCAAAGGGAAAGGTCTCCTGTTCAGCTCCCCACCAGGGCGTACGCCTGGGTTGCAGGTTCAGTCCCGGTCCGAGCACGTGTGAGCAGCAACCATTTATGTTTCTCACATCAGTGTTTCCCTCTTTCTCACTCCCTTCCCCCCCCCCAAAAAAAAGTAAATGAATTATAAAGAAAAGAAAAGGAATAAACTCTGTTCCGGTGCTCACAACCGTAAACCTACTTTTGCCCCACCCTGGACGGGGATATCATTAGTCCAGCCTCCTCTGCTGGGGAAGTAGCTGGTGTTCTCTCCCAGAGTCTTTGAGTCTCTGCTTGCACACCTCCAGCGACAGGGTGCTCAGCACCATTCAGATCATCATTTTCCTTGCTGGCCCACGTGGTCACCCTGGCTGACCACTGCCGGCCTCTGCACGTCGGATTCCTCTTCCCGTAGTGAGAGGCGCCTCCTAGCGCCACGCCTGCCTGAGCCCCTGGGGGACACAGGTGTCCCCACCACTCCAACAGCCCAACAGCTGTTTGAAGACCCCCTGACGTCCCTCTGAGTCTTTTCTTCATGCGCTAAAAAGCTGGAAGATGGTCCCCACCCCTGTCGTGTCCTTGAAGACCTGCCAGCAGCTTAGAGTTCCTTGTTCCCCCAGGTCACCGATTGCAAACATCAGGGCTCGAGAGGGGCGCAGAGCCCTGATTCAGCTGGCAAGACACACAGTGCTAAGGCCAGGAGGTGGGCAGGTGGCCTGCAGGATGCTCCACAGAGAAGGCCAGGTGAGCCCTGCGGAGACCAGCCTGGGCCTGGAAGGTGCCGAGCAGAGAGGGCGGGCGGGAGGAGGGAGCAGCAGGGCCCAGGCCTGGAGGCCTGAGCCGTGTGCTGCGGCAGCCAGTGCTAGCCGCAGAGCCGACAGTCACAGCTTCTCAGCGTTCCCCTGCACACGGAGTGGCCTTCCCCCTGTGGAGCTCCAAGACACCTGTGATAAGGTAAGGCATTGAACCAAGGCTGGGAGGTTGAGGAGACGAGGCTGCAGCCTCGGTGTGGGGGGCAAATAAGGGCCCACCCATCCCGTACCCTGATTCAGGCGGGGAAGGGAGCAGCATTTGTTTCCCAGCCCAACGAGGATGGCGGCTTCCGTGTGGGTGGGGGAGGGGCCCTGAGGTGGGGGAGGGGAGCCAGGCGTGAGGGGAACCGTGCCCAGCGCCCACATCCGCATGTGGCACGGGCTCCTGCCGCCTGACTTGCCAGGGCTGCCATACGGTTCCCTCCTCTGGGAGCAGGGACTTACCCCACTCGCACTCAGAGGCCCAGGGTGCAGCCCGGGGGTCAAACCCCGGCGCCCCCAGCCCTGGCCTGTGAGCTTGAGCAGGTCATATGACATTCCTGCCTCCCAGTTGGGGGTGAGCATGGGATCCACCCCACCGCCCCTGTGGGTATCGGTGGGCCAAGGGTCGGGGGAGCCTCAGGTGAGGCTCCACGGCTGCGTCCACTCCCAGCTCCTCTGCTCACCGGCCTCACACCCTCCAGGTACGTGGTGGTCTTCTCCGTGCCTCAGTGCCCGTGTCTGTAAAATGGGACGAAATGCCCAGTTCTCACAGCCAGGGCCAGAGTGAATGAGACCATGTGTGCAAAGTGCCTGGTGCCTGAACACTGGATAAACGGCAGCATGACACTGACCTCTGTCCTCTCAGTCCCATTGCCTGGATGCCATGTGCTGCCCAGTAGTGCCCTCTCTGCAGGGGCCCAGCTGTGCCACCCTGTCCCCTCCTTGAGTTTCAGAGCCCAAAGAAGCCACCTGTGGCAGCTGCCCAGACCAGCTTCCTCGGTGCCAGGATGGTGGGCACACGGGAGCCAGGCCTCAGCCCTCTGCCTCAGGGACAAGGAGTTCGGATGGGGCCGTGAACTGTGGGCCTACACCCGGTCCAGTCCCAGAGCTGCCCTCTTGAAAAGCAGACCCTGGAGCCGGGCAGATGGCCTCAGAGTCCAGCTCTGCCTCCTCACTGGTGTGTCCTTGGATGAGCTACTTTGCTTCTATGAACCTCAGTTTCCTCTTCTGTAAAATGGGGACAACAATACCTACCTCTAAGGGGCATGGTGAGGATTAGATGAATTGGCTAGTCAGGATGGGCTGCGTTCTGCTGCGGCAACAGACGGCCCCAAGGCCTCAGTGACTTAACATTTCTCCACACACAGTCAGCCGTGGGTCCAGCCATCCTTGGGCTCCTACAAAGGCTGGGGCAGGAACAGAGGGCTAGGGAAGGACAGCAAACATGAGATAACTGGTTCAGAAGTGACATGTCACTCCCCCCTTTTACCTGTGTTGCAGCGGCCAGAATTAGTCCCGTGGTGATGCCTACTTCCAGGGGGCTGAGGGTTGCAACTTTCCAGATCTGCATCAGCGCCTGCCCCCGCCTCTTTCTAAGCCCTCGAGTGGGGCTAATTACTCTCTTATTAGCTGTCTCATTAGTCCCCCTAACCCTCATTGTACAGATGAGGAAACTGAGGCAAAGGGAAGCCGAGCCCCTCACCGGAGGCCCTGCAGGTGGGAAGTGGCGGAGCTGGCTCTCCCACCTGCCCCACCAGCTGTCCCTGGCCTCTCGGGGGCCCCAGCTCGGCCGATGTGGCCCAGACACCCGAGACCCCGCAGGCCTGGCTGAGGCCCCGCTGGGAGGGCCCTGCTGTCCGAGAAGCAGCCGAGGAG